GCCAGATCAGACCTCTCAAGGAACACGTGTGCCTGGCACACTGGTTTTGTCTGTGCAAAGACATTCCTGGCCACCCCCAAAACCTGGGCCTCCAAGCTCAGAGATGAATCCAGGAGGAGGAGCCCCAAGCTGTGCATGGGGGTTCTCAGAGGGATTGTCACCCCATCCAGCTCTGCCTCCTTGATCTGCTTTTCGATTGACCTGGAGCACCTCTGTCTTGTCTGGATTAAGTTTCCGTTGACTCGCCCCCATCCGGTCCATTACTGGCACTAGACACGGATTTAGAACTGAACCACCTGCCTTCAGTTCTGACAGAAAGGGACACACAATATTAGAGGGGCACTCCCACACACCTCAAATCCATTCAGACAACTATGATTTGAAACGCTTTATAGCCTTCAGAATCATAGGAAGTCATTCCTCCTTTTGAAAGCGATCACTTTTAATTGCCTCATCCTGCTGCATCTCCTTTTGTATTAAGTGCACTGTAAGCTAGTACTATTAGGTGTTATCCGGTCATCTCTTTGGAGATTGCCCTTTTGGGCGGCTCTTCTGGTGCCAGATTCATGGACCAGCTCTGATGCAAAGGTAAAACTGTCTTATATTTCCATGGCTTTCAAATCCATTAGACAGTCTAAAACCAGTATTAAGTGCACTGTAAGCTAGTACTATTAGGTGTTATCCGGTCATCTCTTTGGAGATTGCCCTTTTGGGCGGCTCTTCTGGTGCCAGATTCATGGACCAGCTCTGATGCAAAGGTAAAACTGTCTTATATTTCCATGGTCTAAAACCAGAATTAGAGTATATTTGTTTATTTTTTATTAGACTTCTAAATAAATAAATACATTAAAAGCCAAGTGCTTTATCTTTTGCCCTCTCTATAAAGGACTGCATGAATATAAGCAGCTCTTTTCAGCCATTTGAAGGGATACTCTCAAGGAGAGAAATATTGTGCCTCGTATTTTCTGCAGTTTACTGAGAATGCATAGGTATAGAAAGAAAATAAACAGAAGTCAGTGGAGTTTTGTCAAAAGGGCAAAAATCAGTCACTTCAGAAGAAGGGTTCCAACCCTGATGGCTCAGTCATGGGGAATTGACTTGCCAGCTGAAGTTCTGTTGCTGCTCCCAAATTTTGGAAGCCCCTCCCAGAGGAGACTAGGCTGGGCCACATCTTTACTGTCCTTCCAAAAGCAGGTGAAGATCTTCCTCTTCTGACAAGCTTTCTCTGATGCATTTATGCATCAACACCTCTACTTTCCCTGCTCAACCAAGGAAACTCATGGCGTGGGGTAGGGTGGCCACTTACACCACACCAAAAATCTCAAGATTCAACACCCACGTAGAAGGGAACTCTTCAAATGGAAGACTGCCCTCTCTGTAAGAGGACATCTGGACATCCAACATAGTGTCCCAACAAGAACAAAAAAAAAAAAATCTTAAAGGCCAGCACCAGGGACATAAAAAAATGATGACAGAAAGATGATAGTGTTCCTTTGAGCTGTCTAGTCATAGCCAATCCCTCCCACATTCTCAAAAAATACTCAATTCTAAGTGGAACTGACAATCCATGTAGCTATCTAAAAGCAAAATCTAGAATGTACGTAGTCAGCCATGAACCCCCTTGCCTCCTTGAACAGAAAATACCTGCTTAGGTTGGTAGATGGGACAAAATAGACTCCTTTAATATCCATCTGAGCCTCTCCCCAAGGCTCAGTGTCTGGGGTTGCCCCAAGATATTTGGACTTTCATTGGGGCTCCCTATGTCAATTTCCTTCTGCTTTGGTTCCTGCTTCTCTATATACATACATATTACATACAATTACATTACATGCAGTAGGGATGTGGTGGCGCTGTGGGCTAAACCGCAGAAGCCTGTGCTGCAGGGTCAGAAGACCAAGCAGTCGTAAGATCGAATCCACACGACGGAGTGAGCGCCCATCACTCGTCCCAGCTCCCGCCAACCTAGCGGTTTGAAAGCATGCAAATGCAAGTAGATAAATAGGGACCACTTCGGTGGGTAGATAATAGCGATCCGTGTCTAAGTCGCACTGGCCATGTGACCATGGAAGATTGTCTTTGGACAAACGCTGGCTCTATGGCTTGGAAACGGGGATGAGCGCCGCCCCCTAGAGTCAAACACGACTGGACAAAAATTGTCAAGGGGAACTTTTACCTTTACCTTACATTACATGCAATTAATTACATACAACTGGATGGATGTTTCATTTTAGGGACAACATCAGGGACTGTCGTCCTGTGTCCCTTACCAATTCCTACTGTTTTTTCTCCATGCCTGCTGCTGTTTTTATTTATTAACAAGGACCTTGATTTGCCAACTTAAAAGAATACACAGGCTGATGTTTCCTGGAATTCCTCTAACAATGGCAAGACATACACTTCGATCCAGCACATTAATGCTATTATTATTACTGACTTGTTTGGTTTGGTTTCATTCTGAGATGAACCCTTTCTTGGGATGTGCACAGGCTTCTGCTATTTTTTCCCTCGAGGTCTCTAAATCTGGAGGACTCTTAGGGGAACGATCAGGCATTCTCTAACTAGGGAGGACTCTTAGGGGAACGATCAGGCATTAGATTCTCTAACTAGACACTGGGTTCCAGTGTCCAGTAATGCTTTTCTTGACCTTTAGTGTGGTATTTGCTTAATCCTTTGGTATTTGACTATACAGTCCTATGGACGAACATCACAGTTCAAATTCATAAGAACTGACTAGCCTTGCCATATCTCTCTTGCCATGTATCAGTAGTTACATTTGGGTGTGCGGTTTGTGTCCTTCCTTACAAATTATCTCCCTTCCCTCAACTGTTTCTTTTAAAAGATGAAAGAGGTCTGATTAGATACATTTACACATTTACAGTAAGCTACTCCTTTCCCTGCTCAACTAGGGAAATTACACCTCACCAAAAAAAAACCAGGAGAAGCGTCATCAAAGAGGATGACAGTTCTTCAAATGTACGACTCTCCTCTCTATATGAGGCCATCCAACATGGTGTCCCCAGAAGGAAAAAGGAGGTCCTGCAAATGAGGACCAGCAACAGGCATTGGAATGAAGGAAGGAAGGAAGGAAGGAAGGAAGGAAGGAAGGAAGGAAGGAAGGAAGGCAAGGAAGGAGAGAAAAGGATAGACCTTAGTACTACTTAGAGCTATCCAAACAAAGCCCATCCCTTCCGTATTCGCAAAATACACTCAGTCCTAAATATAACCCAGATTCAGCGTAGCTACCTGAAAGATCAATCTAGAAATGTAGTCAGTCAGGGACCACCTTGCCAAACCAGAACACAAAATGTGCAGGCGGCTGGGACTAAATAGACTCCAGTGAAATTAATCGGAGCCCACCCCCAGGGCTCAGCGACTGGAGTTCCCACAAGATATTTGGATTTTCATTGGGGGCTTCTGCTGCCAATTTCTTTCAGCTTTATCACATGGTTCTATTGCCGCAAGGACTGTCAGCAATCATGTCAGGGTCTTAGCCTTCAAAATAGCAGCTGTGAAAGTCATACGATGGTGTTTCTGTGAACCTAAATATTATTCCTGTCAGGTACCAGCTTTAGTTTTTATGGGACAGAGGAAAGGGAAATCCTCTATTATTTGCATCAGATAGGTAGAAAGAGAACTGCAGGGGAGGTTATAATGAGGAGATGGTAGAAACACTGCTGAACTCTCATAATAGCTTTATATTTGATTGGGAGAAATAAACAAACTTTACTTAATAGTAAAAGAAATTTTTGCACTGTATAACTCCTATAAAATATTGGTTCAGCCCAAAGGGGTGGGACGAAAAAAGAGGAGGGCTTTGAGTACAGGATTGGAGTCTCAGAAAGAGTGAGAGAACTGAAGAAGCTTGAGCTGCTCTTGCCAGTTGGATGACTAAGATCTTTGATGACTTGGTTGAGGTATAACTTCTATATGTTTGCGTTGAGGGGGTGGATCTACTTATTGAATCCATGAACTGCATACAATTGTACTGATGTTTCATTTTAGGATTCTGAAGATTCACTTTGGTCTGACTTTGAAATCAGAGGAATACTTGAACTGTGCTGATTCTAAAAGCAACTCTTGTATTTGGTGCTGTTCCCAAGGACTTGGGTGCACAAATTGTAGCATGTTGTAGTTGTTGTTGTTGTTGTTGTTGTTGTTGTTGTTGTTGTTGTTGTTGTTGTTGTTGTTGTTGTTGTAATTGTTAAGGTTTCCTGGTATATGAATGCAAGCCCATTCTTTGGTTGGGGAATGCAGTGCAAGACTGCCATAGGAACAACTTCTGAATGAACTGCAACTTTTGCTTTCTTTCCTCCATGTTAGTGGCAAGCTCTCCCATCAAGGGGATCTCATTTATTTTAACCTGTCTATATTCCAGATTGAATGGATGGCAATGGTGACCCATTGTGATTTGGATTCACATTTTATTGAACCATTCTAGGTCAAGAATATTCTTATTTTAGGTCACTGAAAGACCATTATGCCTCCTTTATTATGACTCTGGGTGACTGCGTTAAGGATGTCTGACCCCTTAAATGGGGGCTTAGTACTGACAGGTCAAAATTCATAATTCCTGTCCTCCCATCCCTGCTCTCCTCTTCACTGGACGTTCTAATCAGCAGCTGATAGCTTTCATATTCCCCAATATGGGGAGGAATTTCTCAGGACAATTTAATGGACAAAGGGTGAAGCAAATTTTAAAGAGAAGAGGGAACCTGAAGGAAACATAGTTTTTGTGTTCTTCTTTCTGTAAACACAAATCATTTGTATTTTAGATCTTGACTCTCAGGAATTGCTAAAAAGACTTTTAAAAATGCAAAAAATAGAGAGAGACTTTCATGCTAAGGGGATTTCATTAAAATAATCATAGCCCACCCTGATCAAATATTTCTGCTCTGGGCTTCCATACATTTGGAAAAGATCGTTAACCCAGCTACTAAGGAATGTTAGAATAAATGATTTTTGTAACCTTTAGCCTCTGTTCTGCCTAGGTATCACAACATTTTTGAGGTGAAGAACATGAATGTAACAAGATCTCCTCTTGTTCCGTAAGTATATTATGGAATCGTTGGTTCCGTAAGTATATTATGGAATCATTTTATTTGAGGTTTGAACTATCTAAACAACAATCAACCTTTTTTCAACTTATTGTGTATCCTAATTTAATTCATTGACTTTCTATATTACAATGACCCTGCAAAAAAACAATAAAACTCTGAATATTCGGGCGGTCAAAATGGTAAGCATATATTTTTCAGCACTCTCTGTAACACGGACTGATTCCCTTTGGTGTCTTTCTCCAAATAGGCTTCGAACTACAGCAAGAGCTTTGTTTCCTGAAAATGAGTACAAAGATTCTGGAGATGCAGAACTTCACATTATTTTTTATCAATTTGACAATTTAATGCAAAACATCATCATTGGCTTCATTCTCCTTATCAGCCTTTTGGGTCTTGTGGGAAATGGAGTGGTCATCTGGCTTCTTGGCTTCCGAATTAAAAGGAACCCTTACACCACCTACATCCTCAACCTCTCCGTAGCCGACTTTGGTGTTCTCGTCTGTCTAATTTTTACAGCTATATCAAAGTCTGTGGACATTCTGAATGGGAGAAATCATTTCGACTATTTGTACTTTTATATAAATTTTGATTTGTTTTTCTTTGCTTACTCTACTAGCCAGTTCCTGTTGGCAGCCATCAGCATTGAGAGATGTATGGCTGCTTTTTTCCCCCTTTGGCATCGATGCCACCGGCCACCACATTTGTCCGCCATCGCTTGCGCCCTCATATGGATCCTCTCCTCCCTGCTTCCTGCAGTGAACATCACTCTCCATGTGACTAATATTTCATTCACCCACGATGTCTTATTTCAGCTTATTGTGAATGTTTTCCTTTGTGCACCCCTCATGCTCATCTCCACTCTGACCTTTTTCATTAAATTCTACAGTAAAGCAAATCAACTCCAGCGGGGAAAGCTCATCACAGCTATCCTACTGGCACTCCTTTTCTTCCTTATCTTTGCTTTTCCTCTTAATTTGATTTATATAATTTTATACATTTTTTCTATTCACTTTTCTTTTGTGACCCTTCTCTCCTTGATACTAATTGGCCTTTTGTGTGCTTCCCTTAACAGTAGTATCAACCCACTTATTTATTTCTTGGTAGGAAAAAGACTGAGGCAGAGTCACGCGAGGGTGTCTATCAAGGTGGCACTCCAAAGGGTTTTTGATGATGACCAAGACTGCAAACGAGAGCAGAACACCAAAAGTGAAAGCCTGGAATGACAATGCATAAGAATGAAGTTGATTTCTATTAAAAACATTCAAAACTAAATAAATTATAAAATAAAGCATAATGCAAGATGGCAAAATAGATAAGAAAGGAGTGGTCACAATTTTAAAAAAAGAAAGGAAAAAAGAGAATTCCTTCCAAAATGTCCCAAGCCAATGTAAATCAGAATATTTTATATAATACATGCACAATTCTCCAAGTTTTTTAAAAAATTTCCTTAAGGGATTAAGCCCTTGCTGAGCCCTGAGCTTTAAAGGCACCCAAATCATATATATATATGCAAAGGTAGTTAAAAGACTGTCTTTGGCTCGGGATAATAAGATGATGCTAACTTTCCACAAAGTAGAAGGGGATTACACTTGTGACTGTTTCTGGTCTCACTGTGGCCTTCCTCTCCCTTCGTAAGAGACCAAATGACTGTGGGTCCCACTTCTCTAAATGATTCCTCTCCCTTCGTAAGAGACCAAATGACCGTAGGTCCCACTTCTCTAATGATGGGAATGGTCAGGAGCAGGTGATCCCAACAGTAAAGAAGAGGAAGGAAATTGGGAGGTGAGGGAGACTGGCTGCTTGTTCTCCTCAGGATTTCACCCTTCCCTCACCTCTGCTCCACCCACCCACCCACATTCCTAGAAGTATATATAAAACATATACATAAATTTCGCTTCCCCCCCTGAAAATGTAAAGCACAATTTCTTTTTTGTCAGATCTCTTAATGTGAACTGGATAAGGAATGTTTTAAGCTCAGTATGTCTTCATAATCTTACTACTGCCTTCTCAGTATATTTTGTTCTTCTATCATTTCCATAATATTTTATTTGAATGTACATGCTATGATATATGTATTCTATTATTCTATGCCGTATTAATGTCAAAACATAATGGATGATGTATTAGAATGTCTTGTGAACCAATTTGAGCACAGTGCATTGTGCAACATGTAGTGTATAATTAAACTTCATCATCATCATCATCATCATCATCATCATCATCATCATCATCATCATCATCATCATCTTTCATGTGATAGGGCTATAACCTTTTTACTCATTTTTACTTTTGTTACCGTTCTGTCATTTCTTCCTTTCTGCCTGTCATCATTGTGAAGTATTGTGAACAGTTTCTTAAATTCCTTTTTCTTAGAATGTTTAATATAAACTGTTTAAGGAATGTTATAAGCTCAGTAAAATATGAAAATATTAATACTGACTTCTCAGTATATTTTGTTCTTATTTCACTTCTGTCATGTTTTGTTTGGGTCTTCATCTTATGATGAATGATATGCATTAAACCTATGGCATAATTCATTTGCTATTTGCATGATCTGTGAACCATGTTGAGCACTATGTATTTTGGAAAATGTAGTATAAAACTAAAGTTAGTCATAATAATAACACTGTATGGATATATAGGGCTCTAAAATTTTTACTTATCTTTTCCTTCTTATTATTGTTCTGTCACTTCTTTTTTTCTGTCTGTGATCTTTATAAAGTAGTTTGAAAAGTGTCTTAAACTCAGAGACACTTGATTTGCCAACTTAAAAGAATACACAGGCTGATGTTTCCTGGAATTACTCTAACATACACTTCGATCCAGCACATGAATGCTATTATTATTATTGACTGAGATTGTTTGGTTTCATTCCAAGATTCTTTCTTGGGATGAGCACAGACTTCTGATATTTTGTCCCTCAAGGTCTCTAAATCTGGAAGACTCTTGGGGTAATGATCAGGCATTAGATTCTCTAACCAGACACTGAGTTCCAGTGTCCAGTATTGCTTTTCTTGACCTTGCTTGATCCTTTTGTATTTGAAGTTCATAAGAACTGACTAGCGTTGCCATATCTCTCTTGCCATGTATCAGTAGTTACATTGGGGTGTGCGGTTTGTGTCCTCCTTACAAAATAATCTCCCTTCCCCCAACCGTTTCATTTAAAAGATTAAAGAGGGATGATTAGATACATTTACAAATTAAAGCCACTCCTTTTCCTGCCCAACTAAGGGAACTCTTCGGCTGGGGCGGGGTGACCCCTTACACCTCACCAAAAAACCAGTAGATATTTTTCTTTTTTTCCTTCAGCTTTGTCACATGGTTCTATTGCCGCAGGGACTGCTAGCAATCATGTCAGGATTTTAACCCTCAAAATACTGGAGCAATCTTTGCTGACTTATAGAGGTGTTCAAATTGACCCAAAAATGACTGGGGACTTCTTCACCCACACCGAAGCTGATCCAGGTGTGATGAAATACCCCTACTCCATCTCATCTGGACACTTTCTCCCCAAAACTGGTGGGCCTCCCCACTGTGTTGTGCTACTGCCCTCTTTCTTTCTGCAGCTTCGGAAAATGTGCCTACACAACAAAAGATTGCACGGACTTTTTGCACTGTGTAACTCCTATAACATATTGGTTCAGCCCAAAGGGGTGGGACGAAGAAAGAGAAGGGCTTTGAGTATAAGATTTCAGTCTCAGAAAGAATGAGAACTGAAGAAGCTTGAGCCGCTCTTGCCCATTGGACGACTAAGATATTTGACAACTTGGTTTAGGTATAACTTCTATATGTTTGTGTTGAGGGGGTGGGTCTACTTAGGGAATCCATGAACTGCATACAATTGTACTGATCTTTCATTTTGGGGTTCTGAAGGTTCTTTTATACCTAACTAGGCTGTGGAAGATATCTTGGACTTTGGTCTGACTTTGAAATCAGAGGGACACTAGAACTGTGCTAATTCTAAAAGCAACTCTTGTATTTGATGCTGTTCCCAAGGTGCACAAATTGTAGCATATTGTTGCTGTTGTAATTGTTCATGTTGTCCGGTACATGAATGCAAGCCCATTTTTTATTTGGGGAATGCTGTGCAAGACTGCCTTAGGAACAACTTCTGCATGAACTGCAACTTTTGCTTTCTTTCCTCCATGTTAGGGGCACTGAGGGACCATTATGCATCCTTTATTATGAATCTGTGTGTGAATGTGTTAAGGGTGTCTGACCCCTTAAATGGGGGCTTAGTACTGACAGGTCAAAATTCATAATTCCTGTCCTCCCACCCCTGCTCTCCTGTAATCTGGATTTTCTAATCAGCAGCTGATAGACTTCATATGCCCCAATTTGGAGGAAGAAATTCTCAGGACAATTTAAGTAGAGACAAATCATTTGTAGTTTACATGTTCTTATATATATGCAAAAAATAGATTCTTTTGAACTAAGGGGATTTATTTAAATACTCTTAGCCCAACCTGATCAAATATTTTAGCTCTGGGCTTCCATAATTTTGAAAGCATTGTTAAGTTAGCTACTAAGGAATATTAAAAGAAATAATTCTTACAACCTAGAGCCTCTATTCTGCCTAGGTATCACAACATTTTTGAGGTGAAGAAAATGAATGTAACAGGATCTCCTCTCGTTCCGTAAGTACATTATGGAATCATTTTATTTGAGGTTAGAACTGTCTAAACAATATTCAGCCTCCTTTTTCAACCTACTGTGGATCTTAATTTAATTAATTGACTTTCTATATTACAACGATCTGCTATTGTATCATGCAAAAAATAAGAAGACTCTTTGACTATTTTGGCAGTCAAGATGGTAAACATATCTTTACAAGCACTCAGTGTAACAGGCACTGATTCCCTCTGGTGTCTTTCTCCAAATTGGCTTCTAACTACAGTGGGAGTATTGCTTCCTGCAAAGGATTGCAATGATTCTGGAGATACAGAAGTTCATATCCCGACTTATCAAAACAGTACTGGAGCTGAACATTATCCATTTGACAATTTAATGCAAAACCTCATCAACAGCTGCATTCTCCTCATCAGCCCTTTGGGTCTTGTGGGAAATGGAGTGGTCATCTGGCTTCTTGGCTTCTCAACCTCTCCGAAGCCGGCTTTGGTGTTCTCATCTGTCTAATTTGTGGAGTTCTGCTGGTATTTATACACACTTTGAATAGGATAAATTATGTTTTCTCTTGGTTCCACGGTATATTTTTTTATTTATTTTTCTTCACGTACTCTACTAGCCAGTTCCTATTGGTAGCCATCAGCATTGAGAGATGTGTGGCTGCTTTTTTTCCCCGTTGGCATCAATGCCACCGGCCACCACATTTGTCCGCCATCGCTTGTGCCCTTGTTAACCGGCTTTAAGGGGGAGGGGGTAAATTCCCTTACGCCCCAACAACCAAACAAGAGACAAAGAGTGCTCTGCGAAAGAAGTTTTATTTTTACAATTCTGCAGAATTGGAGAGAACACCATCAAAAAGCACTGGAGTCTCTGCCCAAAACAAGAAATACACAAGATTATAAAAGGCTCCTAATAATGAGCTCACCGCCTTGGAATGTTACCAAATAAGGTCATAAAACCCTTTTGTGGCTATTCATTGGTGAGGTCTTATCAGTAAGTTTCCTCTTCTTCTTCTTTATGTTTAATATAGGATGTCCAGTAGATGGCAGCAGGGGCACACGCACAGATGTACCCTGAATGAACCAAACTATTTATTTATTTTTACAATTCCCCCTTTTTCTTTTTATCAACCTTTGGTTCATTCACTTGTTGTGCATAAGATTACAGTGGTGCCTCGCTTAACGAGTGCCTCGCTGAGTGATGAAATCACTTAACGAGGCACTCTGGGCCATCGCTGGAGCATTCGCTCAGCAATGGCCCCTATGGCGTTTTTTCGCTGTGCGATGATCGCTAAGCGATTCGCTTAGCGATTTTCGCACAACGAAGCAGGGGAGAACAGCTGATCGGCGGTTCCAAAATGGCCGCCGGAAGGTCCGCGCCGCATTTTCGCGCCCTGCCCTCGCTTACCGAGGGCGCGAAAATGGCGGCGCTATGAAGAAACATCGCTTAACGGTGAGTTTTCAAGTCATAGGAATGCATTGAACGAAGTTCAGTGCGTTTCTATAGCTTTTTTAAAATTCCGTTTAGCGATGTGTCGCTATAGCGAAGGTTAATCCAGAACGGATTAACCTCGCTATGCGAGGCACCACTGTATATAGTTGTAACAGCCCAATGCCCCCCCTCGAAATTTTCCTTTCTGTCTCATAGGATGGTTAGTCCTGGTGAGCTCACATTCTCGCTAAAATTTCCCTGCCTATTCCCCTCCTCTCTACATGATTTATCTATGACATTTTATTTTTCTACGAGACTCTACCTTTGCAAGGCAAGCCAGCTATCCCTTATCTTTGGTGCCTGGTACCATCTCATACCAGAAATTCCTTAGAGGTTACATAGCAAAGGCAGAAAGAAACACAGGCATAGCCTAATGTGTTATGCCAAGACTGCTGAAACGCAGAACTCAATATACAGTATAAGCAAAACGTATTCAATATGAATATCTTTTCTATATCAATTCCCCCCGAAAATACTTGAACAAGTTTTGCCAGTAGGATTGTAAATGACAGTTATCATTTCTTCATCTTGATTCACACGTAATGGCAAAAGAGATTCTCTCTCTCTTTGTTTTCTGACCATTTCTTTTAAAACTGCAGGAATACATTGTATACAGCAACAAACAACTACCCGTATAACTCTTTTATATTGCCTCCTTCAGTTCCCCTGGCCTAAGTGATGTCCAATGGACTTGTTCATTTCACGCTAAGCTACTATGCATCCGGATCTAACTATTTTGCAGACTCCCCCTTCTTTGACTAGGAGATAATCTAAGAGCTAATTGTCAAGTGATGTTGCATCTGTACCTGGTGCAAACTCCCAATTTCTTCTTGTAACTCTCGTACTATCTGTGTGGTAGCATTTACACTTTTCTCTAGTCTGCAAGTCAGTTTATCAATTATCACTTCATCCTGACAGGATGAGCCCAAAGGTCCGCTCACCCCATCCCTCATTGTTTTTGTATCCCTCTTGTGTCTGGGTCTTTCGTGTTCCAATAACTTGCACCAGGGAAAGATCCAATATCTACACATGCTCCTCTCTTGCAGCCTGGGTGATAGTTGGTGGGCCATCCCATAAAGAAAAGAACATAAACTAGGGTCTTTAAGCATCATGTATCCACAAATACTTCATCCAGTGTGATTGGTCTGTAGTAGTGGAAAATCTGAATCGATATCTGCCAGAGTTTTCTCATCCTTTGTGACATTTTTCAGCTCTCCAATCATGTTATTCTCGTTTTCCCCAAACAATTCTTGGTCCTTATTTGACAAACAAAAGTCTCCCTCACATTGTGAAGAGTTTCCTATTTTCTGAAAGCTCTCATTTGATTCATTAAAACCCTTTACCCAATTGTCCTTATAAGTATAACAGAAACACAAGCCCTTTGTCTTTCTAATATATTTTAAAACCACCTGATTTTTTTTCCTTATTCAGGTTTGTAGGAACGCTATGAACAAAATCTCTGTCTGCCCTGAGGCACTAATACTTTGTAAAGAGGCCACGATCAGTGTAGTGTCATTAATAAGTCCTGATATCACACTCATGAATCTGATCGAGATAGGGGACTCATATACCAGTGTCGCCTTAAACATGTGGTGTGCGTTTCTTACCCATGAGTTCCCTTCGGTTCCTGGTCCCACAGCCATGTCCCAACAGCTTATGAACAGAATTAATATTAACACCATTGGTCTACCCCCAACCCACTTCCGCCTCCCTTTCGCCATAGTTTTATTTTAGGGGCTCCTGCGGGTCGGGTGTTTGGCAAACCCATTCTTCCTTCTCCTGCTCGCTGTTCGGAACCGCAGCTTTCTTTACTCGCGTATGGTGTGTCCAACCAGCCTCCTTCGTTTGGACTGCAGTCTCAGTTGTCAGCAAGACTAGATATGGTCCGTCCCACTTGGCCTCCAGAGGACTAGTGTTCCACTTTTTACATACACCTACTGTCCTGGGGGTTGGGGAGAAAGGGATGCACTGCTGCTTCGGCAAAGTCTGATGCTGTATTTCCTGGATCCTATTAAACAATAAAACAGAAGACAGGGCCAGAACATATCCCTTCAAAGCATCATGCCCTCCTTTCCCAGTACATTATGTCCATACAACATCTCAAAGGGTAACAATCCAATAGCTATCCGAGGTTTCGTCCTCACGGCAAGCCAACCCACTCTATTCCCAGCGCCTCTGCTTACTTTTGTGTCTCTGGTGTCCTCCTCCATGTAACATCTGCATGATAAGATTAGCTGCTGATTTCTGCACCCACTCCCAACCATCTGAAGCCATCCATCGGCCTGATTTTTCCTTGACACCATTTGCACTCACCCACTCCAGCTCCTTTTTGAGTGAATACCCACTGTTCTTTGGGACATGTCCCATTTTGAGGGATACGGGCTATTCTGTAAGCCTGTAGGCAGGGCTTGATTTGCTTGCTATGGATCTTCTGTAAGAAACTTGGGAAAACATTTTGAGTAGCAATTGAGATTTAAAAAATTCTTTCAGTATAATCTTGATATTCAAAGCCTAGTGAGAAGCAATTAAGCATGTGCCCTTTGGATTTATTTGGGTCCAAATCCCAGAATTCTCCATTCTGGGATTCGGAATCCAAAAAATCCAAATAGCACATCACTAGCAGCCACTATGTGCTTAAGTTCCAGGAGCAAACAGAGGTGAGCCACATTATTTAGTCCCCTTGACTGGCTAGAGAGAGAGGAGGTCTTTGGACTGATCAGGTGTAAATAAGGTCCTTCTGGAGTCCTCTTACGTGCACCAGATACCTTGTATGCCAAGCTCTGACACAGGTGTGCATCAAAGAACCACACATACTTAGGCTCCAGATCTGGTACAAGCATTTACCGTATTTTTCGCTCTATAAGACGCACCTTTCCATAAGACGCACCGATTTTTTAGGAGAAGAAAACAGGAAAATATAATCTGTTTTCTTCGCTCCATAAGATGCACAGACTTTCCACCCCCCTGTTTTGTGGGAAAAAAGTGAGTCTTATGGTGCAAAAAATACAGTATTTTACTTCGCTCTCTACAAATTGTATCTTCTTTTTGCCTACTCTTAACCCTTTATCCCCCAGAAAGTTTAACAAGCCAATTGAACTTTTCCTCACTACCTTCCCCTCCTGTTTAACACTTGTGTGTTGTGTGTGTGTGTTTAGTCGTTTAGTCGTGTCCGACTCTTCGTGACCCCATGGACCAGAGCACGCCAGGCCCTCCTGTCTTCTACTGCCTCCCGGAGGTGTGTCAGGTTCATGCTGGTTGCGTTTCACACTTAATGGTTTCAAATTGGGAGCTTCCAAACGGACTCCATTCACTCCCATTGCTCTTAGGACTCCTCCTGAGGATTCCATTTCATGTACACTCTTGGATAACGTTGATTGTTCCCCCTGTGTCTACTCAGAGAGTCACATTTCCCCCTTTCTCTTTACATACAGCACAAACATCCCCAGGGCAGAGGAGCTCTTGGCCCTGAGCCCCTCCTTTCCCTCCTGTTTAACCACGAGGAGTTGCAAAATCAGAACCTCCTCAGTTTATCCAGTAGCTCTCAATATTTTCACCTTCCCCTTTGTACATTGCCAATTATAATTTATTTTATTTTTATGCATTTTCCAACACAATGTGGAGTGGGTCGCTCCAGTGTCTACCAAAAATCCTCACTCTCTAGACCCACTCTATATTTTATCAAGGACTCCTTTATCGTCTTTCCCCTGTGGTTGTCCAAAGGCTTTTGTCATGCTGATGTTAGTAGGTATTATCTGCTGAAAAGCCTGTAACATATATCGGCAGTAAGTTTCACAATGTGTTCGCCCTGCTTGAGTTTGGAAATTCCAATCAGCCGGGGTTTCCTCCGGAAAGTTTTCCCTGGCTTCTGCCTCAAAGGTTGGAGGAGATGTGAGGATCCCACTAATCCTGTATCTTCCTCGCCCTTTTTTGGAGTGGTAGGTCGTACCTGACCTTTCCGTCCCTTTAAATCTTGCAATTCCCATCCGAATTGCCCTATTTGCAAGCTCCTAGGTTCCTTTTCTAACCTCCTACAATGCTCTTCGCATTTCCCCTCCTCCTCCAGCTGCATCGCCTGTCGAAACAGCTCGCGCCTGCCTTCTCCTCCCTGTCTTGCCCCTCTTCGCTTGCTACAATGACTTCCCTTGCCTTCTTTACAATATCCTCCAATGACAATTCAGCTAGATTATCGAACTTCTGCAATTTCTTCTTAACATCATTTCCTTCTTCAGTTTTCCCAAATAACCCTTCCTCTTTTTCTTTACTCTCCTCCTTCCTTTCTTTACTCTGTCTCTCTCTCTTCGCCTAGCTTCACCAAGTATTTCCAGAGACTCCTTAAATGTGAACACAATCAGGGCCCCTTGCCCCCCTTCTTCATCCCCTCCTGTGAGTCATAGCTCCACTGGCCTCAACCCACACTGCCCCATCCTGCAATTTTTTTATACCCTCCAATACAGCCGCTGCGTAACAGCTTCCAAAATTTCCTTCTCCCTTCATTTCCTCAAAGTCACAAGGTTCAAACTTTGGCCACCGTGGCTGAATGTTAAATGGTGGCGCACAATCACACCATTTCTCCAGGGGTCTGCCAGTCTTGCGTCTTAACCTGTTCCCAATGCAGGAGTAGCCACGCAAGTGGACTACCTCCAGGAATTCCTAGCTCTGATGACCCTTTCAAAGCCTGGGCGTCCCCAAACGGAATTCCTTCCCCAGTCTCCTTGTCTAATTTTTTTAGACGTCTTGTTTCCCATACCGCTGGCTTAAACAGACACAAAAGGTGAGGGGAGTGCGAGAGAGGTAAGGGATCCTCAATCGCAGACACACAAAGGGAAATAATTTCACTCGCCTCAGTCTGGCTCCTGCTTACTCACTCACTCTCCAAACACACAACAGCGTCCCACCCACTAATCCAGGACAATTTTCAAACACTCACCGATAGATCTGATGTCCCGCGAGGTCGACCTGCCTCTTCTTTCGCGGAGCGCCTCAAAATGGGTTCTTGGGAACGAGGCATCAGGCAGCAACTGAGAAAGCGGCCGTTAAAAAAAAATAACGGGGGCCCTCCGATTTCGCAAGCCACTCGCCTGTCCACCTCGAGCCCAACGGGACTAACACAGCCCGGCTCAAAAGGGCAATTTAAAGTCCCATCTGGGGTGCCAAATTGTTAACCGGCTTTAAGGGGGGGGGGTAAATTCCCTTACGCCCCAACAACCAAACAAGAGACAAAGAGTGCTCTGCGAAAGAAGTTTTATTTTTACAATTCTGCAGAATTGGAGAGAACACCGTCAAAAAGCACCGGAGTCTCTGCCCAAAACCGGAAATACACAAGATTATAAAAGGCTCCTAATAATGAGCTCACCGCCTTGGAATGTTACCAAATAAGGTCATAAAACCATTTTGTGGCTATTCATTGGTGAGGTCTTATCAGTAAGTTTCCTCTACTTCTTCTTTATGTTTAATAAAGGATGTCCAGTAGATGGCAGCAGGGGCACACGCACAGATGTACCCTGAATGACCCAAACTCTTTATTTATTTATTTTTACACCCTCATATGGATCGTCTCCTTCCTGCTTCCTGCAGTGAGCTTCACTCTCCATATGACTAGTATTTTGTTCACCCAACATTTATTACTTCAGCTTATTGTGAATGTTTTCCTTTGAGCACCCCTCATGCTCATCTCCACCGTGACCCTGTCCCGGGAAAGCCTGGAATACCGGACCTACCAGGGGGCGGCTCCCCCAGTAGACTCGGTCTTCTGCCCGCGAAAGCCTGGTAGGACCGGACCTACCAGGGGGCGCTCCCCCCAGGTTGGCTTGGTCTACTGCCCGGGAAAGCTTGGAAGATCGGACCTACGAGGGGACGGCTTACACCCGGTTGGCTCGGTCTAGTGCCCAGGAAGGCTCGGTAGACCGGCCCTACCAGGGGACGGCTTCCCCGGCTCATGACCGGACCTACCAGGGGGCGCTCCCCCCAGGTTGGCTTGGTCTACTGCCCGGGAAAGCTTGGAAGATCGGACCTACGAGGGGACGGCTTACACCCGGTTGGCTCGGTCTAGTGCCCAGGAAGGCTCGGTAGACCGGTCCTACCAGGGGACGGCTTCCCCGGCTCAGTCTGCTGCATGGGGAGAAGCCAGGTAGACCGGACCTACAAGGGGATGGCTTCACCATGTAGACTCCGTCTACTGCCCGGTGAAGGCGGGTAGACCGGCCCTACCAGGGGACGGATTCCCCCGGTTGGCTCAGTCTAGTGCCCGGGAAAGCTGGATAGATCGGCCCTACCCGGGGACGACTTCCCCCGGTAGGCTCGGTCTGCTGTCTGGGGAGAAGCCTGGAAGACCAGATCTACCAGGGAAGGGCTTCTCCGGTAGGCCCGGTCTACTCCCTAGGCTTCCCCCCTGGTAGTAGACCGGGCCTACCCGAGGGAGCCCTCCCCTGGTAGACCCGGTCCACCGTGGGAAAGTACTATCTGCGGTGGTGGGGGGAAACCTACGAGATGCCTTCCATGGTGAAAGAGAAACCCTGGAAGCCATCAGGAGGCAGATCCATCGCCTACGGATTGGAAGGGGGAGGCACGGAAAGCACCAAATCTGAGTTTGGTGCTTTTCCCTCCTCCCTCTTCTGGTCCGTAGGTCAATTCTCTGGATGCAAGTCGTAGTGAAACAGTGTGAGATGTACGGACAAGTACAACTCTCGAAAAGTTCGTAAGTGGATCCAACCGTAAGTTGAGACTCCACTGTAGCTGTCATTCATCCCAACTGAAGCCTTGGAGTATGTACATTTTTTTAACAACACCAGTGAAAAGTGATTGATGCTGAAACTGCCAAAATGGAGTCATCCTTATTTCGAGGACAAACAGCACAGCAAAACCTGTGTTACGACTCGAAACAATTTGAATGTTTTGGGCACCACTGGACAGAAGGCTGAGTCAACCTTGAGCCGGCTACCTGCGATTGAACCTCAGGTTGTGAGCACAGTTTTACTTGCAGTACAGAAGTTTAACCACTGTGCCACGGGCTTCCCTGTCCTGCCCACTTGGCAGATGGCCCACTCAGACTGGGAGGCAGGACAGTCAAACCCATGCTCCTGCCGAGAACTGGTCAAACAGCTTAAAGAGGAGGAGGAGAGGAGTGCACTTTGACAGGTCAATGGGCTCTCGGCCTGGGAGGTGGGGGAAGGGAATGCGTGGCACTTGTGATGCCATGAATATTTACGGGCACAAACCCTCCTATCAAGATTTATGCCCATCTCTAGTAATGAGTAATGCAAAGTGTTCCCTTTAAAAAAACACCTGAACTTCTCCTGGGAACAGAAGGAGGGATGAGAACGGACTTTCCTAATCACCTATTGGTCAACATCTTGAAAGACGAAGAGGAAGGGTGGTGTCAAGAAAGTAAAAAATGGAGTTGGCCATGTGGACTGTTCCTTAGTCTATAGAGAGGCTTAGGAGCCATTTTGAGTCTTTTTTCCTTATGTTAGAGCGAAGGGAATCGGAATGTAGAACCTCAGAAAAAAGGAGAGGGGGGGGGCCGTATCCTATGTTTTCCCTTAAAGTAGCTTTTTGGTATGTTTACTTATATTTTTCTTTAGTGAATGATGCCTAGATTTCTTTGCAATATTCTATGGAAATGTAACCTATGCTTTGCTTATGCAACAAACTGAATATCTATAAAGACTATTTTTTATTTTCAATAAAAGATTATTCTTAAAATCCTTAAGAATGGTCTTTTGAAGAGCAAGTCTGCTGAGCCTGCTTCCAGGGAGAGACTGAAACCACAGAATGCTACAGAGTCCTATCTGCCTGAGCTTTGATAGATCTGGCGACTACAAAGCTCATGTGTGTGTTCTTGCTGAACTTAGTTCAGTGTAAGCAAGTAGCTTTTAAGATAGACCTGTGAGAAGGGGTCTGTACAGTAATTCTTCCTGGCTGAGGTCATCTGGACTCCACCCAGCTGTAAAGGAGATTCAGACTCCCTAGTTGCTCTCTATCCCCCGATCAAGCGCTCCCCACAAGGAGGCTGGGTCGTGACAGCACACATTCGTGCAATGCAGATCGGGGGGGGGGGAAGAAGAGACCGTGTCCAGTCCGGATCGCAAGGAGAAACACACACACACAGCGGGCTGCTTGCTTTTTTCTCTCCCTTGCCCAATACACACACACAACCTTAGCACCCCAATCCTTCCCCTCCCTCCAGGTCCACAGGTGGGACACCCCCAGGAAAGACCCCTTTGCAAGGGCATCCCTTTGAGAGAGAGAGGAAGAGCCCAGCGCAGGCTCACTCAAGGAAAAGGGGATCAATTGAAATGAATTTCAAAAGAATAAATGAAATCACTTTGGGTTCCTGTTTGAGAAGCTCAAAAGGGGAAGAGTGCCTCTATTTTCTTCTTAGCTCTACGTTCCTCCCTTTTGTCCTCCTAAAGAATGTTTCCATGAATGAACGAGAAGGGGGGAGGGAAGGGAGGTGATGAGAGCAGGCGACAAAAGATGATGACGAGGATGATGGAGGGATTTCCTGCCCTTCAGCCCCAGTCTTACTTTGAATTCCACTCTCCCCTTCTGCCCCCCCCCCCGTCTCTTTTTTCCTTTTTT